AGAGAGAGAGAGAGAAAGACTTATCCCCCACTGTTTATATTACCTTTCCTAAAGCATAATTGTGACTTCAAGACCAATTGGCAACCATACTTTAAAGCCACAGTTCCACAAAGAACCACATGGGATCAAGATGTATGCCTCAGCCCTTGATTCACCAAAGTTGGTTTCCTGTAAGACTATGGCCTCAAACTCTAATCTTTGTATCAATGTGCCAGCCACTAGGTTCAACAGTTAGCAACCTCATAAGAGAAAAGTGACCAACACTTTTATGTCTTACTATTTGGGGGAATATTTACATAATTTGAATGAAAATATTTGAACATATATCTCATAAGATTAAGAAAGATAATGTACATTAATTGTTTAGCAACATGTGTGGCTATGGTGTATACTCAACAGATAGCAGTAACTGATTTTTGACTATATAGTGATGAATAATTATATAATTATTATTACATAAGATAGTATTATATGGTTGAGCTCCATGGATTGTTAGTTATCAACTGTGTTTAATCTAAAAAAAATAACAGTGTCATATGGTTCAACCTACAACTACTAATATTAGAATATTAGACTGAACCACATGAAACATCCATTTGGGAGACCAAAAATGGGCAAGTGTTGGCAATTTCATATGGTTCCACCTAATAAAAGCAGTATGCTGTTGGAAAAATTGAATTAATCCAAGAAGCTGAGTAATTAACAATCATTATATTGGGTAATCACTTTACATGGGCAACTGCTTGCTTTACAAATTAGAAAGCTCTTCCTAATTATATGCTGTGCAATATTCTGCAGAGTGTCATTGCATTCCATTCCACTTCATTCCACAAACATTTATGAAGCTTCCCTAATGAACCAGGTATTGAGAGATGAATAAAGGACCAGATGCCTGCCATAGTGTGGATTTTCTCCAGAGGACAGCATTCTGGTGACTGAGATTATAGCTCAGATTTTGTCCTTTTAGAAACTAGAAATTACTCTAAGTAGATGTTTTATATGGTCTTTTTCTTGTGTTAGTAACTCTCAACTTTCTGAAAGAAAAAAAGAAAGAAAGAAAGAGAGAAATTTTTTTGTACAGTCAATGACACACCCCAGGAATGATATATGAGATGGCGTCAGAAAGTGGAGAGGAGCTATATTTCCATGTTTGTTCCTGGCTACATAAGATACAGTTCAGAGCAAGCTGAAACATAGCCTATATACCTGATTTTGATTTGTGGACATGAACTGTGAACCCCTCCTGCCAGGCTCCCCATGTCATCCCCATGAGAAGACAGGATTTAAAAATTTATAAGAGTTATTCTCTCTGGAAACGAGATGCTTTAAGTTATAGTATCTTATTGTATCTTGCTTTCAGAGAGAAACAGAGGAGTTTTCAAACACTTTCTTCTCTTTCCAAGTCTTCTCCTTGACTTCTTAGATTCCACCCTTATTTTGCTAATTTAGCACACTCTGGTTTACAAAGAATTTGACCTCAACTGAAGTTTCTTTAAAAGTAAGTGTTCTGGTGGGGGCGTGGTGGCACACGCCTGTAATCCCAGAGACTTGGGAGGCTGAGGCAGGAGGATGGGGAGTTCAAAGCCAGCTTCAGCAATTTAGCAAGCCCCTAAGCAACCAGTGAGACCCTGTCTAAATAAAACATTTAAATAAAGAGCTGGGGTGTGGCTCAGTGGTTAAGTGCCACTGAGTTCAATCCCTAGTACAAAAAAACAACCATAATAAAAATAAATAAGTAAATAACTGAGTATTCTGGCTAAATGTGGGTTAAAAAAAAAACTAGGACACATTAGGTAGTAGAAAATTAAAAAGGCCCAGGCTGTCAATTACCAAGAATCTATAGAAATAAACAGATTCAGAATTATTCTTGAACTCCCATTAAAACCAGTGAAGCAGTAACTGGGACATGATTTAGCTTGCAGAAATAGTGGATGGAGACAAGCAGGTAAATGTGAGCTTCCATATGAACAACTACAACTGAAAATTTTTTCTTCTCAAACATGATCAAACATAAATAATACTTGAAAAATTGTTAATTCAGAGAAAGATGTTTCAAAGTCCCTTCAATAATATTTTGAGGCCTGATTTTTTTTTTAAATGGTCACTTTGTTTAATTCACGCTCTCTTTCTTGAATAGAAGGGAAAGCTTTTTAAACTTGAGTTAAATCTTCCTCTTTTTCCTTTTCCTCTCCTCCCCTTATTTTCAACTCCTTTCCTCCTCACCCATTTCTACCTAAAACAATGATCATACAGTCTGAGTCACTGGACTCTTCAGGGCAGAGATGACAAAACCCGTATATTTGCTCTCTTGAATTCTACATCTCACTCCCAGCAGGGCTTTTACCCCAGGCAGCACAGGATATTCAACTTCTCTTGGCCTGATCTGACACTTAGTCTGGTTTACTGTTCCAGACAGTGGTAGCCATACATCTGAGAAGGGCTTTTTCTGCAGGATGAGCCAGGATCTTCTTCTCCTTAAGAAAAAGAAAAAAGTGAGGTTTTATTTGCCATATTTTGTTTTCATGTTAAATCTCGTGACTTGCAGCCTGCCTTCCCTAACACAGAAGTGTGCTCATTTTAAACAAATAGTAACTCATTTTTGCTTCTTTCCAAATTGCTCTTCTGTGAATCATGTTCATTTGTTTGTCCAATCATTGAATTTTTATTGGATTTCTATTATTATGGCAGGCTCCAGCACATAACATACTATGAGTTACTCAGTGTTGATGCTGAGAGCTATTCAAAGATGATAAAGAAACAGCCTTACCTTCAAGAAACTTGCCATCTGCTAATAACCACCTATAGTACAATAAATATCATCCAAGTTAAATGATGCAAGTATTCAAAAAAGTACTCTCCTGAATTTCTTTGAGTTGTCTGCTGTTGTAAACCTTTATCTCTGATTCAAGCATTTTAAAAATCATGTTCCTCCAGGCTTTTTTTTTTCATAATTTCAGGTCTTTTTTAAAGTGATTTAATCATGAAAGACTTCCTCTATTTACCTTTTCAAAGAACCACAGATTTCTCATCAATGTGTCAAGGTAACCTTTATAGCATTTGTAAATGCTGGTAAATGTGGGACTCATTTTTAAAAGTGGAAACCAAGAAATCAATGCCAATATTTCATCAGTAACAAAAGAATGGATTAATAGTGGAAATAAAGAATGCCTCAAACACTCTGAAATCATCACCAGTTATAACTCCCACACTTCAAGCTAAGGAAAAAAATTCTAATGTCATTGGCTCAGGTGCATTCCTATAGGCACATTGAGTTTTAAATAATTCTTTGGCATTTCTTGGGATCAGGATAGGGGAAAATTATTAATATTTATACATTACATCTGTAGACTTTGTGAAACAATTAAAATTATATGGTGTAACAATTTCCTATAATTTTTCAGCACTTAGCACATGCCCGGCTCATTCCAAGTGAATGGGTAAATGGACTCGGTAATATAAGAAATATTCTTATACTCAGCAAGGTGCTGACAGATAGAAAGCACTTAACACATACATGTTAAAGGAATGGATGGTGAAAAACTCTTGTTTTAGGTACTCAACTAAGTTATGACACTCACTCATAATCCTCAGTGCTGATGTATGTTCTTATGGCAATTCCAGTATCTCAATATTTCAGGAGTTGAAGTCCACACTTCTAGGGTGGATGCTGTTTATTCTCTTCACCTAGTCAACTCCCACTCAAGCTTTGAGAGTCAGTTTGAATGTCAATTTCTCAGAGAGCCTAATCATAATTTTCAATGTCTAACTCATGACCTGCCTGAGTCAGATTCATCTGGATTATTGGTAAAAATGCAGATTCCTTTTTAACTGACATTGTTAGACTCACGTTCATAACAGCATTATTCATGGTGGCCAAAAGGACAGAAATAACCCAAAGTCCTTCAACATATAAATAAATAAATTTAATGTTGTTTCTACATAAGTGGAAGAAAAATTCTGATCCATGCTACACCATGAATGAACTTGGAAGACATTATGCAGCTAAGGGAGGGAAGAAAGGAGTTAGTTTCATGGAGAAGATGATAAAAGTTCTAGAGATGAATAGTTGCACATAATGTGATTGGAATTAATGCTATTGAACTGTATATTTAAAATGGTTAAAATTATTTAAAAAATTGCTATAGACACTTTGCCACAATTTTTTTAAAAGGGTAGATTTCCTGGCCCTACAGATCTGTTAAATCAGAAAATGCAGAGATGGAAAGGGAATGGAGCAGGTAGCGGGGAATGCATGCTTTCCAGCTGACTCTGATGTAAGTTTGGGGACACTGGTACCATCCACAATAAATTCTTCCTTCTTTATTCCCCACAGTGATCTACACTCTCACTTTGCAATGACTAAAGCTCTATGAGGGCAAGGGTGATAACGGTCTTTTTCAGCAATGTATCCTCAGTAATTACTAAAATACCTGGCTCAGAATGGTGCCCATTATATATTTGTTGAGTTACTTAATTTGAATGAAAACCTCATTAAGACACGTATGATGGGGTGGCCAGCACCCCGACAGAGCAGGTTCCTGTTCAGGAAGTGTGAGCTGCCTGGGAAGATAAAAAGTCTGAAATAATCAGTAAGAAATAAGACAAAGCCAAAGATTTGATTTAAAAAGTAGAGTGACTGATGGGTTTTCCAGTTCTGATAGGAACTGGAACTGAACAACTGAAAAAGGCCCTGATTCTTTATTTAAGGGGGAGTACATCAAAGGTAAGCATAAGGGGTCAGTGGCAGAAGTCTTGTTTTGGTGCTTGCTTCTCTGGGTGGCAGGGGTCTTGCAGTAAACAGGTTGATTGGCATTTGGCAAACTACACCCATCTCCAGGAGGCTGTTTGGCTCTAGAGGGTTCCTCCCATCTCCAGAGCTGTGCTTGAGCCTTGAGCAGAGAGCTAGAAAAATGTTAACATGAATTATGTATTCTCCAACCAGTGGATTCTTCCTGGGAAGTCCCAAGACTGGGCTTCCCTGCCTAATGGCTCCATAGTTGATCAGTTCACACATGGTTTAAAAGATGTCCCCCAGCAGATAAGTACAATAGTTGCTTGAATGGCTAATCTGAAGATTTGAGGTAATGAGCATAAAGGACCTTGCACTGTGCCTGATTCATAGTAACAATGAATTACTAGAAGCCTTATTTTCATTCTTAGTATAATTATTCAGGGTTTAGGTCAAGAGTTGCTAACTCAGATGCCAACAGATTCTAAGCAGTTAATATGGTTGCTATATTATCCATTATGAAGAGATAGGAGTTGTGGTGGACTAAGTCGTATGTGCCACGCTTATGTTAAGCATGATTAGCACTTGCCTATTGGTGCTCCTAGGCACTCAGTCCCAGAGTTACAAGATCATTGGATTTTTCAAGTGAAGCTTTAAATATGGATTTTCATCTCAAATGTTCTAATTTACATAAGCCACATAGCTATTTAGAAGCTTTTAAAGCTCAGTGAAAACCAAATAGAACACATTTGTCTGATTAGTCCCAAGACTAAGGCCATCCAAAAGTCCCTAGAATAGACCCTCTGTCTGTTAAAGACAGAACTGGAATCTTCTGCCTTGATCAGACTCACCATGCTTCTGTGTGTGGGAGCTCATCTAATTCAAACCAATCAAAACAATAGGGGAAAGGGTGATGATACAGCCCTGCCCAGAAGTTCAAGATGTGGAAGGCCAAGATAGATGTCCATGAGTGCTTATGGAAGTGTTGATATTACTGCGGACCCAAATGGTAGTACAACAGTGTTGGGGAAGTTGTCATGTCATATGATCTTATTTTACTGGTTTCCAGTAGGTTTATTGGTGAACTACTTACTACCATTGCAATTAGGTTATTTATCTACACCTATGAAGACAGAATTATTTCCCACAGCTAGGGGGCTCTAGCAGTCCACCTTTCAGACACAAATGAATTTGCCGTAATTTATAAATGTAAAAATGGATGGCTCTTTCCACTATTATCTCTAAATATAAGAGGTTGATATAATCTAAACTTTTTTGTCCACATGCAATATTACTGATATGCTTTATTAAAATTATTTTCTTTTACTTTTTTCTCCTTTTTATTTAAAAAAAAGTTTATATGTAATTAAACTGTTGATTTTGTGTTGAAAGTGTTTTAAATATCTCAATTAGAAAGTAAATAGCTACTTATGTCAGAAGTTATTGTCATGTCTAGTAATCATACCATGCATTTAGGTTGGTATGTTTTAACCCAGTTCTTCTTATCTCACACTCTAGGGGAAAATTACATATTGATGCTGATAGATAACCAGAAAAATAATTTCTCACTCTGCAAAAATCACATAATTTGACCACTTAAAAACTCAAACAACTTTTCAGCTTTTAAGGATACTCAACAAAAGAAGATTTAAGTGGAGTATCTAAAGTTTTATCTTCTGTCACTCCTGCTATTTTTTTTTTGACATTTTCACTATCAAGACACTGAAATGTACTAATTTAGCCTTAATTCCCAGTTTCTCCTTCTCGTGCCCTCCATTCTGCTCTAGGACATGTTTTAAAAGCACTTAGAGGCACTTAATGGACAGATTTAGCAAAATCTTCATCCTGTTTTCACAGCTCAGTCGCATACAAAAGACTGAATAAACTCTTTCCTCCTCCTGTCTTCATCCCTTAAAAATATTGATTGTGGTCAAGGAGGGGAGGCAGAGGGAGATTTCTCTTGTGTGAAAGCTACACAGAAAAAAAAATTTTTTTTTGAATTGGTTCTTTTCAGATGCTAAATACCCACTTCCTCTTTCTTATCAGCTACTTTAATGTAGTACTGGAAATAACGGTACTTAAACAAGTACCCACACATATTTTCAGTTTCCTGAATATCTCAAATATCACAGTTTCCCAAATATACCAACTTCAGGAAAATAGAAAATGCATTTTATTCCAGTCCCTTCTTTCCAATTTGCAAACCCAAGAGAGTTTAAGGGAAATGCAATCCACATGTTTCTGGGCATTTCTACTCAAATACATTCATCTAGAGGGTTTTTTTTTATTTTATAAAAATGATTTGATGTCTCTGAAGCTTTTAAAATAAATCTTGGTACAACTCTTTTTTTCCCTCTTAAGGAAAAGAGTTTCTTCGGACAAAATTAAGTTAATAGAAATCCTTTAATATTGACTTTCATTTTAAATTTGAGTCATTTTGGTAAGGGTGAGTACTGAATTCATTTCTAAACGATTGCATTATCTAGTCCCTCATCTGTTTTTATCATTTCCTTTATTACATTGTTTCAAGTCCTTTTTACATAGTGAATCATTCATTTATTCAATTTATATTTAGGTAATTATTTATATCAGACTTGTACTAGATGCTGGGGATACAGCAAGAATATGACAGATTCGCTCCCTGCCCTCATGAAACTTAGGATCTAGAAGAAAAAAGGAATATGAAGGGTTTAAAAGCCTCATGAGAGAATGCCAGGGGACAGCAGGCAAGGCTTCCCAAAGGAAATATCCTGTAAGTTGAGAACTTCAGCCAAACAAAATAGGGGCCAGGTGAAGATCCAGGCTAAGTGAACAGCAGGTGCTAAACTCAGGTGGAACAGAAAGGAGACTAATATGGTTGGAACTTAGGAAATGAGGAGTAGGGGTACAAAAAGAGGCTGGGCAGATCATGCAAGATCTGTGTCTCCATCTGCCTCTTAGAAATCATAGCAGTCATGGCCGTTAATAGACACAAAACAGGTGTACAAAAGTACACACACACACACACACACACACACACACACACACAGTAACCATATAAATATGGAGGCAGATATGAGAGGAGTCTATTTACAAAGATAGGAACACAAGAGATTGCCGCAGTCTGGCTGGGCACAAATCACGAGCCACTCAAGCAGGAACAAACTTTATTTCCGAACTCCCCCCAAGGCCACCCACGCGGTCCTTCCAGGGACCACACCAACCAGAACTCCCTGCACCGGAACGAACTCCACCAACCAACTGGAACTCTTCAGGAATCCCTGAAGCTCAACCGGAACTCAACGGGAACTCTGCTAGAACTCAAAAGTCATCATCTCAATAGTTCGCTGGTGTCACCTCTCAACCACTACTTCTGGCAAAATGCCAGGGACCATTCCGACTGGGCTGTGGCTCTCAGTAGAGATGGCCCAAAAGCCACCAAGAGAGAGGCCTAGAAAACAAAAGGAATTAACCCTGCCAACATGTGATCTCCAAAACTGGGACAGTAAATTTCTGTTTATACCACCCAGCCTACAAAACAAATAATGTTAAACAGCTTAATTCAGTGCAAGACTTTCATATGCTATTACAGACTTTAAGTCTCTAAGAGAAAGGATAAAGTGTCAGCAATTTACTAGACAGTGAAACTTTTTTCTCTGTGCATTTCATGGGGATCAGTTTTTTGAAGATCAGGCCCTGGGAAATGCTGACCTAGAACCCTGAACTCAGCCAAGGGTTAAGGAGGAGAGTTTGCAGTGAGCAAATGAGTCAATATGGTTGCCTTAGGTTGTAAATAACTAACAGCCCTTTAACGTTCCTGGGAATTCTCCTCCACACAGTGAATCTGTAGAAGATGACTTCAAGGCCCTGCAGGAAACTAAGTGAAGATTCTTAGGGTTGAGAGAGAAAGCATTTGGAGCAACCAGATGTTCTACTCTATAAGTCTCACCTTTACTCAGGATCAATTGTGCAATTTGCAGGACCCAGTGCAAAGTAGAAATGCAGGACTCTGTGGATAAGTTAAGAATTTCAAAATGTTGACAGAACATTAAACCAAGCTCAGGGTCTCTCTGAGCATAGAGACTTTGTGTGATTACACAGCCCTCACATTCATAAAGCCAACCTTGCTTTGACTGCTTCAACCTAACCCTTGATAATCTTACACTACTGTCTATTCATTTCATGAACTACACTTAGAAGACTTCCATGTTGGGGGTCCCCAAAACCATCTATGGGGTGGTTCAGTGAATCTTCAGGAGACTCACAGGATTCAGCTTGTAGTTGTATTCATGGCTCTGATTTACTGCAGGCAAAGGTGATAAAATAAGCTCAGTAAAGGAAAAGAACCATGAAGCTAAGTCCACAGGAAACGAGAGTTAAGTTTCCCAGAATCCTCTCCCATAGGAGTCACAGGATGCATTTAAGGAAGCTCATGAGAGATACAGTGCCCGAGGTTTCTCCTGGGAGCTGCTACATAGTCACCATCTTGCTAACATGTACCAAAATTCTGGTTGTGCTAATAAGTGTTTACACTAACAGGAAAGAGCAAGTTCAGGCACAAATCAACTTCTTTAACACTTCCTCCTCCTCAGGCTGAGAGGACAAACTTGTCAACAAGTTCAGGTTTTCTCTATTCAGCAACCTCAGATGATTCTTTAAGAAAGCCAGTAAAAAGATGATGTCCAAGTGAGTTGCAATTACCTGGTGAAGAAATCTTTCTCTCTCTCTCTACTTCTACAACTTGCTTGAGCATGAGGTGAAAGTGAGAGCTTATTTTTTTTTTTTTAAAAAAAAGAATTACATTCAAGATTTTGGGTGCTGTCAGACATGGTTGAAGTCTTCCCCTGCACAGCAACCCATGCTTGACTACCAGTTTCCAAAAATGAGTCTCTTCTAGACTGCACAGTACTCACCGGCTCCAGACCAGTGCATACAGCCCTTTTTTGACCCAACCAATCAGTTAAAAACTCAGTCATACTAAAGCACAACTAGCCAAAAATGCTCCTGAATCAACTCTCCCAAGGATATTTACAGTTTGACAGGGGACACTATATCAAAGCTTTAAGGATGGACCCTCAGCCAACAAGGTAGCCTCTCACTTTGGCAGGACTGTCACTTGGTAAAGCCCTGACTTTGCATTCACTGTGAAATGGGAAGCTTTCACCAGAAGTCTCTGTCAATTTCAATGAAAGGCTATACTGATTTGACATTCTTAAGCATTATTCATCTTCACAGGAATTACAGTGAGAATAATTCAGGTTAAGCCAAATGCCCCCTAATATTTTGGGAAGGAAGCTTGGGAAGGGGTCTAGGATAAGTGTCCAAATGTTCCAGATCTCTTTTCATTGAGAGTGTTTTTTTTGTTTTTTACTTTTTTTTTTTTTACCAATTTGCACTATGAAGCCTCTAATATTTAATGAATGGAGCTAATTTTCAAAGATAAATTATTATTTAATATTTGTCAAGCCCATATACTAGGGGGTACAGAATATACACAGTTTGGCACCTGGGGAAGGACATTGGCCTTGGAACTTGGTTGGCTCCTTGACTAAAAAGCTAGGTGGCCTTGGGCAAGTCTCAGCAGATGACTCTAGCTGCAATTTCCCCAGCTGCTTAAGAAAGAAAATTCTGTCTCTCTTTCATCACAGAGTGGGTGTGAAGATCAAATAGTGTAATTTAATTCATTTGAAAATGATTGGCAAACTACAAATTGTGTGCATGCGTATGTTCACACGCTTAGAAAATAAGAGAAAGTGACTGCATTTGAGAAAACCAATACATTTAATAAATGATGGCAATAACCCAGCCCCATTATAGGGAGCAGTTACTGTCATCATCTGCATCACTGATGGCACAATTAACTTAATTAACACATACCTCTGTGGTGAGTCTGCTGAAATAACACTTTTCCTTTTAACAGACCCATGCCTTGCCAGCCAGGCATCTCTGAGCCATGCGTCTTCCAAGTAGGGCGGCCTGAGTGTTAAATGGCTTTTAGCTAGTGTGCAGAAACCAGGATTCCCGAATATCCATATCATTAGCACTTCGAATTACCTAGAAAATTAAAAGAAGTCACACCAAACTCCTGTACACTAGGACAGACCAACACATCTTCAAGCAGGGGTGTGTCTGGATATAGGATGAGTATGACCCTAAAATGAAGTTACTGTCACCAAATCCAGAGTGACTTCCCACAGGGACAGCATCCTTTTCTGCATGGGATTCTAACAAGGGACACGTGGACCTTTGGTCTGTGCTGGTGGTAAAATGGGTTTTTGACAAATGAGCAGGAGTCCATGTCTAGGTGAGAACAAGTCTGTAGATGGGCAGCTTTGCCATAGCATGAACCCCTGAAGATCACTTTGGTAGTCAGAAATGAAAGGGAGGCCTGGGATAAAGGATCCTACCACTTCTATTCTGCAGGTCTTTGTTTTCCTTTCACTTTTTTATAGCTCTCAAGAATGTCCCTCCTACTCTATTACTTTCTCTTCTTCCTCTCCCTCATGTTCTACCTTTCTACCTAGCTCCTCTGAATCTGTAGGCCCTTTATTTTCACTCATGCTGATTATTCATCCTATATTTTACACTACTACTTTGTTGTTTTAGATATGCAGCTCATCTCCTCAATGAGATTGCACTTTCCTTCAGAACGGATATTCTTCTGTATTTCCTAAAGCAGCCGAGCAGAGGGCTGGTTCACAATAGATACTCAGCAAAGAATTGTTAATTAAATTTATTTCCCTTTGTTTCTCTTTTATTGGAAATTGGATACACTAGTTCTACAAGAAAGGCTGCATGTATTGGAGACCCAATATATTAGCAGTTCCAATAAGACAAGTTCATTTGTCTCAGGCACAATAGTATGGATTGGACAGACCAGGGAAGGCAGACAGCTATGCTCCAGAAAGTCACCTGGGCATTAGACCCCTTCTGTTCTGGTGCTCTGCCATCCCTTATTTGTGGTTCTCACGTGCCTGGTTGAACTCAGCACACCAAATAGCAGGATGGGTGATGACAGAAATGTGTAGGCAGAGATAGCCTCTCAGAGGTTCTTCATATCATTTCTGCCATGTCTTATTCACCAGCTCCTAGCCCAACAACCACAACTAGCTTCAAAGGAAGATGGGAAATGAAGTCTTTATTCTGAGTGCAAATGTTCAAACCAAAAAATCAGAATATTATTAATATCACGCAGAGGCTTTCAAACTTTTTAAACCATGAGTCACAATGAGAGATACATTTGACATGCCAACCTAATATAGGTACCCTGCACAAACAGAAATGAAACATGTTTTATGAAATAATACTTACTCCTATTTTCTGAGATACATTTTCATATTTTGTAAAATAAGTATTGGTTATGGCTGTTAAATGAGGTGTGACCTGCACTTTGAAAGGCACTACTTTAGAAGTGTGGGAGAAGAGTCCCAGGGAGTCACTGGAGAATCCACCATGGGGAAGGAAGCTCTCAGGTCTGGCCTTAGGCAAGATAATTAACCTGCATGCCTATCAGGCAGCCCATATCACACCATGAGCCATCAGATAGACAGATGCAATCATGGAGTATCACAGACCAGAGATGGCGTCTCTGTTGATCTTAAGCAAAACAAACAAAAACAAAAACAAGCAACAAGAACAACAAAAACAGAGGGCCTGAGAGGGTGTCTTCATCAACACATTCTCTAGAGATGGGGAAAATTTTTTTTTGTCTCCTAATGTGTGTTGTGTTTTTTTTTAAAAAAAAATATACCCCAAAATATCTGTCCCATAGATCTTTCTGTATTTAAAGTGCTACAGATAATTCAGATCAAATCCAAATGGATCTCATTACAATTCTCTGTCATGGCCTCAAATTTATGAACTGTGTCAAGGACACCCTCATCTCTTCACTGTGATAGTGTATCTCCTAGTCTTTCCTAATTCACTTTTGTGCTAGAGTCATCTAGAGAACAGATTTGTCATTCCTTCTGTAGACTTCAAATTTGAGGAAAACCTCATATCGTGTGATGTTTTTTCTTTGACAGTTTCAACTGGCTTTTGTCAGATTTCTGACAGGGGAAAATAGAACCAACAACTGTAAGGACGTCGCACTGCATTTGTTTTCAGAGCCACAGTTTTGGAGGAGTTGGAAATGACTTCTAAATGATGTCACAATGGATGCTTTAAAAGAGGCCGGGAGCCCCTGTGCTACAAGTTCCCTTGACTTAATTAGCTGGGGCGGAGGCATTGTCATTAACTTCCAGCTAATTGTGTTAGTGGGCTCTGACTGGTGCTTCCCGAGGTTTGGGTTGTGGCAAACAGCGCATTTCCATGGCATTTATCTAAACGCGCCTGCGTGATGCAGGACAAGGGCAGCAGTGCGCTACAGAACCTTCATTGTTGCAGCAGGGCCTGTGCTGCTCACCCCCAAGTCATTGGTTGCCTCCTGTGCTTAGTCCCTGGTGGGAGAGGCCCCATCTCCTCATTTCAGACCTAACAAACATCAATAGAAATGAGAAGTTTTTACTGCCTTAAAGGCTGCTAAAAGGCTTCTGTAGAAGTGAGTCAACGTTTTCAGTCTTGTTTTCATTCCACATCCCAGAGCTCATCCGGATGGGCATCTGTGCTTGGTGCCTCCAGAGAGAGAGAGAGAGAGAGAGAGAGACGCTAATTACTGGACAAAGCTGGGGATTAAGCTTCCGTCTTGCCCTTCTGAAGGAATAGTCCCACTGAAACAGGGTTTAGAAATTATATTAGAGAGTGGTGGAGAGAAAAGGTATTCCCCCGCCCAGGCGCCCCCATCCTTCCTGGACTGCAACATTCAGGGCTTTTAACCCAACATGTTTGGCAATCACTAAAAAACCTTGCAAGTCCTCAGAAGATGGGGTATCTTTTGCCATATATTCAAGCAATAAGACATGACAGGCACTTTATTTCATCATGGCTGCACACCTTATGCATTTTGTGGCAGAAGGCCAAAGCACAAATGACTTCAACTCTCACGAATATTCTTCCACAAATGCATTAAAAATCCTTGCACTGGCTTATTAGTACTAAGAAATGAAAATTACCTGAAAACTAAGGAAGAGTGATTTCCTATGATAGGTTTCTCCGGGTCAGGCAACCTGATGGCCAATAAGAAACTTCCATTTGCAAATGGTGTTCAAAAGACACATCTTAATATAGTCATCCTGGAAAAGGTCTCTGAAATCTGAGAACAACAGGCTCTTCCTGTATTGCCAAAGGCCAAGTGTCAATGCAGAGCCTAAGAAGGGGTGTCTGTGTCAGCATATAGATACCCTTATGCCAGTTCTCGGGTTTAGGTGATTGATATTTTTCTTTTTCCCTAAAAGATTGCAAGAGGACTTGTGTGTTTATAGAAGAATTCTTAACACTTTGGGGACAATTTGGCTTTTAAAAATTTTCCTTTGAAGATGAAGGCTCCAGGGTGGTTGTAATCTGGCCGTTCTCCCAGAGAGAGGCACATTTCTAGATGATTAGAGAACTTCAGGTGGGAACGTTACTCTGCTTCTGGCTTTATGCCTTAAAATATGACCTAAGGCAAGCTATCATTTCCCAGAAATGAAATATGTCATATGTTACTATTAAAGTGAACAGAAAAAGAGCATTCTATTACAATAATGGGTTTTGTTTTTTTTTTTAAATTTAAATGTCAAATCCCCAAAGGAATAATACATATTTGATACTATTATTGGAACAGAAATACCAGTAATTGTATGAGGTACTTATATTTAGTATTGCTCATAGAGTAAAGGTATTTCATACAAATCATCAGTAAAATTATGGTGTGGTGTTAGAAAATGAAGAGCAGCATCACTCATTATTTGTGCAATCAAAATATGCATCTATTGGGGGTTGCCATTTGTCAGTTATCAGTGTAAAAGCTGGGAATGCAAAGAAAATGACTAGAATATCTCCTTGCCTTCAAGGAGCTCATATTCCAATTGAGGAGAAGGGATAGAGCAACTATCTACAAAGCAGTGTCACAACAGACTTGATAGAGATTTCAGTGGGGCCATGGACCATGCTATAGAGAACTGTTAGTTCTGAGGGAAGGAAGGGGTCTTGCCATCCTTACTGGATTTTTCAGCTGAACTGAATGTGAAAACATCAGGATGAAGTACATATTATGCAGATGGAACCGAATGGACAAAAGCATAGCAGCAAAAACTAAATAAATGCATAGCATACCTGGGGACTGGTGAATGGATTTTTGTAGAGGTAAGTCTGTCAAACTGTCTGATGTCAAATGATGCACACTGATGGACTAGTTCGAGTTAAAGATTCCTGATGAATTTGGAGAGTCTAATTTTACAAAATGAATGTATCTTACACAGCATTCTATAAGGCCAAAGCAATGGAAGTAAAAGACAAAATGTCTCTTGGAATAAAACTGTCATTCTTAACATGACTCATCTGTTAACTTATGAAGAAACACTTACATCAAGAAATACAAGAAGATTGCTCACTTCATGTGCTTATGGGTGGATTGAATCTAATTTGTAGCATTAAAACCAATTTTCTGCTGAGAAAACACATCACAAAGGACTGCATGAACCTTTAAAATTATTAATATTTGATATTGTGATGTCACTTTTCATCCTGAGATCAGACCTGTACACATGAGAATAGATAAGCTCCAAGGAAATATGCACAGTATTAACCTAGTAAATCACAATGTTTTTCTTTTATATTCCAAGGCCTTCCTGGCTGTGTTTCTCCCACCCTTAAAAGTTGGTGAATATAGTTATAATGTAGTGATTCTTTAATTAGCGCCTACTACAAGAAGTCTTAGGCTAGAGTGGAGGACACTTCTCTCCATCCATAACTCTCCTGGGCGATGAGCTTTTGATGTTGACATATCCATTTCTTTAATTCTTGGCTTTTTTGTCCTACTGATTTCATTCTGAGCAGAGAACATACCAGGCATGGGCTGTGTCTTTTTTGACTTCCCCAAGAGAGTAACAAAGCATCCTCATCATTATCAACATCACCACCATTATCCTCACAACAATAACTCTTCCTACTGCTGCTACTTATAAAGCACTCTATGCTGGCACCAATCTATCCTAAGAATTTAATGTATACACCATATTAAATATTTTCACACCAACATTGGAGGCCAGTGCTGTCCACTAGAACTTTATGTGATGATGGAAAAGTTCTATATCTGTGCTATCCAACATGATTGCATGTGGCTATTGATTAGTGCTACTGAGGAACTACAATTCTCTTTCATTTAATTTTAATTATTTCATTGAAATAGCCACATGGCTATTGGACAACATAGTTATAGTGGCTGGTGGTTTTATTATTATTTTTTTTAAAACAAAGTTCTGTTTTCAGCACCAGTAAGAACTTACCGAGGATAGTGTAAGGGAGTGGATCTGAAGTAGTCTTGAAGCTATAAATATTTTGAAAGAGTTCCCCTATTCTACATTTGGAGAACTTTCAGTTCACCCTTCTACCCTTAAAAATTTTGATTTAAAAGATTCTGTAAAATACATAGGGTAGCATGGACCTTTTTTTCCTAAACAAAGAACACAAATGATGTGGATGATGTTTTAAATGAAACCTCATTGTCATTCAACCATCCAAGCAATGATAAGCAGTCTATCTAGGAAAAATTGGAATTCCAATTACTGATTTCCCAAAGGAAAACATTCATTTTCTGCTTACAAAATGGAACAATGAAAGA